ATTATTAAAGCAGACAATTAACAACCACTTAGCTGATTAGCTCCCTGGCCGGGAATACTGTTGCGCGCTAAGCAGTCTGATAATTACTAACATGTACAATGTTGGAATTAACCCGTATGATTGCAGATTCATAGCTGCCTTTGAGTTTTGTGTTATTTTGCTCTTAAGCTGTCGTTTTTAGTATCTCGGAACTGTCGTCTGAAACTTCGCCAAGAATGTAAAAAGCTTTATTACTAAGTAGGAATCTTGATAGTGAGAGGCTTCAGCTTGTGTTTACAGCTGCCTATCAGTAAGTTTACTTATGTAAACTACCTTTCTAAATCAATAGCAAAAATAAAAGCCAGCCTTTTAACACAGGTAAATTGGTAAAAAAGAGGTACATAACAATGTCTAGTTATCATTACAAGATATCGCTATCGCATTTAAGCAATTGCTTGTGTTATCATCGTGAACCTTGCCAGCAGAGAAAGCTGAAATCAAAATGCTTAAGTTCTGATGAGAACTCCGATATTTTTCTTAGAAAAAATAGCAATAAGAACAAGATAAGTTTAACTAAGAGAGAGATATATTAAAGGAAGACTAAATGGCCATAGTGCATCTTGGAGCAGCAATAGGAACCAACCAGCGCCAACAATCACACCAGTATCACCCTGGAAGATGAGATGGGTGGGATGCATCATTCCTCTTCTACTTTTGATACTTAGTTATCTCTCACTCTTTTGTTCTCTTCTCTTCCTCTTCTTTTCTTCTCTCCTCTCTCTTCTCTCTGTCTCTCTTTCTTTTATATCTCTTTTTATCTCTCTCCTCTCCTCTTTCCCCTCTCTTTCTCTCTCTCTCTCTATTATATCTCTCCTCTTCTTTCTTCTCTCCTCTTCTCTCTTTTTCTCCTTTTCTTTTTCCTCTTTTTCTCCTTTTTCTTTCATATTTTTGCTCTGCTCTTTTTTTATTCTCATAGAGCATTTCTATTTGATTTTCTTTCAGTAATTTTTTATTTTGCATATTCCTCTAGTCTGTGGCATTCATTCAGTGACAAACAATTCTCTGGTGCTTTCTTCATCTCCTTTATTTCACTTGTTATCCATATGTTAGTGTCTTCATTCTCATTTATATCATATATTTATTTCTGTTCTTCAGTCATGATCATTATTTTTCTTGATAATTTTTTCCTCCATTAGTATGCATGTACTGTATCACTGTTTCTATCTTGTTTTAGTTGCAGTTCTATTCTGTTTTCTTCACTCCGTTTTTCTAAGATGACTCGCCCCTTTTTTAAGTTTTTGAGAATAGTTTTTCTTGGCCTCTGTTCTTTTATTTGCTTTTCTTTTTTCCTTCATTTGTTAATCGTACTTCTGTTATTATTTGATCTGTATACGTATTTCTGTTCTTACTTTCACTTAGTTTTTGCTTTTGTCTTTTTTTCGTGACTTCAATGAATCTTGAATATTTTTTTGTTTGCTCTGTTCTCCATTTTTACATTTTTTTTCATGTTTAATTTCTGTTGATATTTTCTTTTGCCTGTTTTGCTCTCCTGCTTTGCAGTCACTCTTTTTGTCTAGTCTTGATTTTGTTTTAGCTTCATCCTACTACTACATTCATATCTACTTACATTTACTTGATTTCCCTTTGCTGTACAGTATTTTTCCTTCATTATTCTCTTAACTCTTACTACTTTAACTTCTCTTAGTGTTTTTCATCATCTCTTTCAAGTTTCAGACTCGACCTACTATTTCCTCTCCCTAGTGCCTATGTTCTTGGTGCTTTCCCCATTAGTAAGTGTGTTGGTGTCGGCCACATCTTGAGTAGCAAGAGAGAGCTGTCCTCCCAGCTCCCCACCCTAGTTGATGTTATTGTTGTTGTATGTACTTGTACCTCGCCCCCTTCCTCCTCCTAACCCCCTTAACCAAACTCTTGTAAATGGTAGTAACTTCCCCTCACCTCCTCCAGTAGTAGTGACCCTTGCCAGTAACCAGTCACTCAGACGCACGGTAAGTACTCACGAAACTAGTCACAGTATAGCACTCCATAGCTTCTTTTTTTGACACAATAAAATCCCAATGGTAAATAAATTTTCTATCGGAGATTAAATGTTTATAAAGAAGGGGTCCCTCATGCTTGATGAGAGTTGGTCAGTGCCTCTCAAAATAGGAAGTGACCAGCCTTCATCAGTGGAAGGAGCCAACCGGCACTTCCTATGCCTTCCTTCAGTTAAAGCCCTTGTATCCCCTATCATGGCACTCAGAGATGGCCTCAGGTCTCTTAAAATGCCCAGACTAATGTTCACTTCATTTTGGGAGAAATTCAACATTCAGCAACTACCATCCATGTTGGAGCACATCACCACATACCAGCATACTCCCGTCTTGCTCACTCTCCAAAATCTGTAAAAATCATATCGTAGTGGAATTAAATCATCAAAATATGTTGATATTGTATTGCTTTAATAAAAGGACATTCAAAGCCATAAATAGTTCATCCCCTCTAATACTGTTTCCATGCTGCTAGTTGCCAACAAGGATGTTTTGAGTCAACTCCTCACATGATCGGCAGTGTGACTTACATCTCCCCGGCGTCTACTGTGGACCTTACCTCAGTTCCATTCTCGCTATTATGTTATTCCCAGATACTGTTAAGAAACCATTAGTTTTTTCACTCCCCCCTGCCCCTGCATATTTTCAAATAATGGCTTTTATAAGCACCCAAGTTCTAGTTCAGCCTTTTTTTTTTTTTTTATCTCAGTGTTGTACTGTTTTTGTTTTTAAACTAATGAAGTTATTGACGAATTTCACCACTCCTTTTCCCTCCTCCCTTCCCGGTATGGGAATTTTCAATATGCTGTTGAGCCTCATCATTTCAACCTCTTTTTCTTTTCTAATACCTGAAAAACAGCCCCACCTTGCCTTTAATAACCAACACCTCATTAACATAAGCTTCTTAGAGTCATCATTCTCTAGCTGCCGAAGTACCTGCATGACCATTCTTATCACAGGCCTCCACCTGCATCCCTCTGACCTTTCACTCACTCTAATGGGCGTCATTCATTGCAAAAGTGAGTTTGCCAGTGTTATCTCTTCAGTGACATCACACACACCTTATACCTATTAAATTACATTAAGTTTATTCAGTCAATACACACCTTCAGGTAAGAGATTAATATTAATCATAAAAATAAATCACGAAACAGGTGGGGCTTGAAACCATGGATTTAAACCCCACCCATTCCATGATTTGTTTGCAATCATGTTATGATTTCGTGAGTCATAATATAAATCATTGTTCTATAACCAATGGTATTAATGTTTTCATGGCAAACACTTAAATTCTTTTCATTGATCAAGACCCTTCAAGCAATGTCATCTGCACAGAATCTCCTTAAAAGTATAGTCATTTATTTCAACATTCACTTCTTACAAAAGGTATATATAAGCTACTTTATTCATATGCAAAAGCACTATATACTTGTCTTTCCACTACTTAGCAATTAAAGTGGAGTGGAGTCTTAACCTATGTATAATTGCTTGCACATTATACAGAGATTAACCAGACTCATAACCTAGGTTGAGCTGCACTTCCTCATTACTTCTTCTTGAGGTTCCAAACCAGACTATTTTCTCTCGAAGGTAACCTTCCTTCCTTTTATATACATAACTTTAGTTAACGTGGCACCTTAGTAAACCAATCACCTTAGTAAACAGAGCATGGCAGAATGCACAGCACCTTAGTAAACAAAAGTGTTTACTAAAGAAAAACACTAGTAAACAGAATGACCTTAGTAAATAAAAGTAATAAGCAAAAGCACTTTGGTGAAAAAGTACTTTAGTAAACAAAATCACTTGGTAAACAAAGCACTTTAGTAAATAGAGCATGTTAATAAACATAGCACCTTGTTACCTTCATTGTATCCACAATACCATCTGATCCATTGATGTGTATACCCACTAATAGTTTTTAATGCAACCACTACTGCATCACACAGCACTCCCTGCAGCTCTAATTAAAAAGTATGCACATCGTCCGCTACACTCTGTAGCATGCATCTACTTCTCACTGGCATTGTTTACATAGGACTGAAGACTCAATACATGGTGAAACATTTCCTCTAATAAATATCCTGAACTGTACATAAGTGTCCTTTTCCACATCTTGTCAGTATTATCATACCATTTTTCAGTTGTTTCCATAACCACAGCCCTCACTGGACTACAGTTTAACCTATCTAATGGTCTGTAAATATTTTTTGTGGTTACAATGGCCATAGCTTCAAATTGTCTGCTGCTTACAGTAATGAAGAACAGACATATTGTGAAGCTATCTCTTACACAACAATGTTTTGCTCTTTGTAGAGCTAGCTTTATCATGGAGAAAATGTTGTCCTGACAGAAACTTATTCTGCAGCTTGTGCCTTATTGGCTGCTATATACGTATAACTCATTCCTTCTCCAAATACATCATACATTACTCCATTATAGGCATGTCACAACTATGCATGTACCTTTTTTTTTATTCTGTTTCATATATTCCATTGGTGCACCATACCCTCTGCTTGACCACCATCTCTTATTCTCCATCCCACCCTGGCACTAACCCACCACTTCAGCATAACTAAGATTACCTTTTCTTGTCTCTGATCCTGTTACCATCCTCTGTGCATTGCCACCATACTTATCTCACTCCTTGTGCATAAATACCTATCTTTATCTTGGCTTCAGTTACCTTCTCTCTGTTGCTTTTTCACTTCTTATTCTATGTGCTGTTTAGCAGTGCCTATTTTAATCATAGATTAGTTTTCCAGCTTACCATCTTATTTGCATGACTACTAGCACTCCCCCTCCACCTCTGCTCCAACCGCCCCTATTCCTGTGTATGACAGCCAGCACCTATTCCATTCCTTGTTCTAGCTCCTCAGTCCCTCCTCCCCACTCACCCATGCATGATGAACAGCACCTATCCCACTCCCTATTCCAGCTCCCCAACTACCTGTGAACTTCATCATCTATTCCCAGGCCTGCAGGTTGTGCTGAAGTCCATCATCAAGGCTATGGCACCGCTGCTACAAATCGGTTTGCTCGTCCTCTTCGCCATAGTTATATTCGCCATCATAGGCCTTGAATTCTACTCTGGTGCTCTTCATAAAACATGCTACAGTTTAGAAGATTTAGGTAAGTGTTTATAATTTTTGTATCTTAATTTAGTTATCAGTTATAGGTTGGGTAAAGTATAAGCAAATAATATAGACACAGTTTAGAAGATTTAGGTAAGTGTTCATATTTTTTTATCTTAATTTAGTTTTCTATTATAGTCAGAGTAACGAATAAGTGGGTAACATAGACAGTTTAGTGACACTGTCAGTTACATGTTTTCAGAATGGGCAGTGAGGTTTGACTGGTTGCACAGGCACCTTGGGCATTGCCTGGCATCTACACAAAGTATCATACTATGCAAGTTTGTTAATATTTAATCCACCTTAATTTTTTTCCCATTTTTTCGAAGAATAATGTGATATGTGATATTATAGTTAAACTTTTACATAAGATACTAAAGATCAGACCTCCACTCTTTGTACCAAATGATCCGCACAAATAATCCTTTCCCCATAAGTATAATAATACATATATTTTATGCAGAATATTTGTATGTTATACTATCCTTATCTTATGTTATCTTTGGTATGAGACTTGATGAGAGTAAACATATTGTAGAGACAGTGAAGGAGGGAGACGTTACAAAAATATTGTGTTCCGTCATAGCTGATATTATGAAATAGGCTACTTTATTTCTCTTCCTTACATTTGTCATCAAAGAAAACTAGAAATGCCTCAGATTTTTATAATATCTGCTACTGAAGACACTTGGCATCAAAAAAAGTATGTAATTTAGGCAGGTTTGTGGTTAGGGATTGTACCCACCTTCACCTTTGATATGAGAAAGAGAGAGAGAGAGAGAGAGAGAGAGAGCACCTAGTCTCGCATACTGTATCAAATAAGTTGTCCTTCTCTAAGCAGATGAATTTACAGTAACAAACATGATCAGGGGATGAGCAGCTGCTGCACCGACTCCACTCAATGTGAGCTGTTTTGGCCGAACTTCTCAGTGTGATTGCCTTTTTTTTTTTTTTTATTAGAATAACTAAAATGTAATGAACACTTGTCAGCTCTCAGTAATAACCCACATAGAGACAGAAACCAGGAGATTAATTGACCTGTATATTTTGACCCCCTTTAGGGATCCTCTTCAGGGGGTCAAAATATACAGATCAATTAATCTCCTGAGTTTCTGTCTTCATGTGGGTCATTATTGGGCTCTGAATTAATGTTTGAAGTGAGAGTCGTGTAGACGTGGTATGTATAGTAGAAAGTGGGAATACGTATTTTGTATGTTATGTAAATTTAAACTTTTGAATAATGGGAGTGTGTTGCCTGGATCCTGAGTGATTATTGTGAGCTGATTTTTGCTGTTGTTCATCTTGATAAATGGATACTGTACCATAGGTGAGGTATGGATAGGTTAGAGAGTGGTACAAAGTGAGCAGGGATGTTTGGGGTAGGGGTGGAGATATATTGCCGTTTTTGAACTGTAGTATAGGCATGCCTTTCGCTAGACAGTGATGGAATGAGTGATGATGAAAGCATTTCTTCCTTTTTGGACTGCCCTGCCTTGGTGGGAAATGGCTGATGTGTTTAAAAAAAAAAAATTAAGATAATGCCAACTGCATTGCATTTTTCTGTAATATTCTGAATTCGTGTGTTGAATTTTAGCTTGGTGTCCAGGTGTATTCCCAAAAATTTACCCGCATCTTGGCTATCAACTGATGTATTGTTAATCTTTATGTTCAAATGAACATTTTTAGCCTTATGGTTAATATTTGGTGCAAGTCTCTTGCAATCCAAATAAATATTTTTTGCAAGTTTGGCCTTTACAGTATTGTTAAATACATCCGGATCACTGAAAAATGGTTTCCATTGAAAGGTAATGCAAAGTTGGTTAATGTGAAGTAGATTAATAAATGGCACTGCAGTTAACATAGTCATAAGAAAGAATCTTGTGAAAGGCAAAAGTACCTCTTAACTTCCTCCAATGGAAGACATGTAGTCCTTTGCCTTCCCAGGGTAGTAATTCCTTCAGTTGCCAGAGTTTAAAGATCTTTGGTACTATATATCATGTGTTATATTTAGTTTCTTCACTTTATGCTCATTTGTTGTGGCACATACATTTGTATAATATTTTATTATGGTTTATAATCAAATACTTATGCACAGTGCATCAATAAAGTAGTAAGCCAGCATACAATGTTGCAGCATTAATTAAAATGTTATTTGACTTATAATCCCCACGCATCATGCTTTTATTATCACTCCTCATTATATATGAACATACAGGTTGCAAGTTTTTCAGTTTTATGTTCATTATTACACCTTGAAGATACATACAAGTATAGGTGGGCTCCAGTTTACAGCACTTTGCTTTACAGTGTTTCACTAATACAGCAGTTTTCAATTATACTCATTCTTCATTCATTCAGACTTCCTACAATAAATATATTCATCACTCACTATAATCTAAGGTTGGAAATATTTTAAGGTATGTAATGTGTGTACTGTATATTAATTTTTTAGGCCTTATTCTGTTGTTCACTTAATATATGATAGTGTGAACATGTTATCATATGACAGTGAAAAAAGGCTATGTTTCAATTTACAGTAATTTTCACTTAACAGCAGTAACCTAGAACCCAACCTGCTGTATAAGTGAGACCCGCTTGTACTAACTCTAACCACCTGGCATCATATAACATCACACTACTGCATTATTGTTTCACAGGAAACCTGTCATTAATGTCTGGTCTCTTTGCAGATGAAATAGTAACAGAAGGAGAAATGGAGACGCCGTGTCACACAGACAATGCATCTTTAGCACCTCCGGGTGCCTACTTCTGTAATTCCAGTATCGCCACGTGTTTGGAGCTGTGGATGGGGCCCAACTATGGTATCACGTCCTTTGATAACATTGGTTTTGCCATGTTAACAGTGTTTCAGTGCATCACACAGGAGGGCTGGACTTCCATACTCTACTGGGTGAGTCTTCTTTACCATGTAAAATTGGATCCTCATGTGAATTTTATATTCTTTTCCTAGGCTTTATATTTTATATTATCATTTTTCCTATATACGTACTTTGGTACTAGATATATTTACTTATTTTTATTTTGTCTTTAGGTAAATAGCACTCATTTTTAATTATGCCTTTAGATAAATAAATATGCTAGATGGAGAAAAGTCTCCAGATATACATTAAAATCAAATACAATAAATTCAGTCCAATTGGAGCTGGAAATGTGATAGTGTAGTTTCTTTTGACCTAACCAGCCCTGAAAAATCTATGGCAAAATTTCTAGGTAAAACTTAAAGGCAGAATATTAAGGTTCTGTACATGCATATACATACAGTATATAAATTACTTGTCATGTAATATTATAACTTATAAATATCGCTTTTAAATACTGAAATTCTTCGAAAAATAAGACAGAATTTGGTGCTGTCACATGATATTATGTATACCTATATAAGACAGTCCTGTAGTTTAAGTGATTCTCCATAACCATTGTTTCCAAATGTACGTCTGTGTATACATTAGCATATCTTTAAAAAAATTGTTTTTATTAACCCTTAAACTGTCCACACACAGATATACGTGCACGTGCGGCAGGCTCCGAACGTATATCAATGTTTTATTTTTCATTCCTTCAAATTTGGCGGCATAGACCTGATTCGCCTAGACATGAAAGAATGGGTCTGTGCACTCAGTGTGCACACTATGAAAAAATGAGGGACCACTTAGTAACTTGTGGGTGCACCAGTTCAATTGAGCGCCAGCTAGAGCAAATAACGTGGCAAACACCAGTGATTCACTGATGTCATGTCATATTATTACTCACATTTTAAGAGGATAATAAAAATGGGTTAGATAAATTCATGAGTGGGTGTGGGTGGGTGTGAGTTGGACCTGACTAGCTTGTGCTATTAGGTCAGATGTCATGCTCCTTCTTTCAGTGGATGTGACCTGACTAGGTGGGTCATTGGTCTAAGCTGGGGGGGTGACATGGACCTGCCTTGCATGGACAAGTAGGCCGGCTGCAGTGTTCCTTCTTTCTTATGTTCTTATGTATTCGGCTGGCTGGCTGTCTGTATCTGTCTGTATCTCTGTGTATCTATATCTCTGTTTGTATCTGTCTATAACTCTGTCTATCTATATCTCTGTCTATCTGTCTATATCAGTCTATCTGTATCTGTCTAGATCTCTGTCTCTCACATGTACTCATAAATACAGTTATTATACATAATGTAAATTACCTAGGATAGCCCAAAAATTCCAGGTCAAGTGCTATACAGTGTTTGTAGATATAAGACATAAATAAACATGACACATATAATAGCAGTGTCACTTGCTCAGCAATCAGGGAGCAGCACATACACCACAAACCAACAGGTTTACTAGCTGTTCCCTGAGACAGAGACAAGCAGATGGAAAGACAGACAGACAGGCAGACAGAAAGACAGATAAGCAGAACTAGACAGACAGATAAGCAGAGCTAGACAGACAGATAGATAGATGTACAGATAGAGAGATGTACAGATAGACAGAGAGATGTACAGATAGACAGAGAGATGTACAGATAGGCAGACAACAGAAACTTGTTTGTGTGCAAGAATAAAAACATATAAAGGCAAGGTTTTCCCCTCCAGCAGTGCACATTTATCAAATGTCACTGTTATCTGATGCTTGTCATAACAAAATTCTTCAAGTTCATATTATACTCCAGGCACACACAGATAAGCTGAACTGGACAAACAGATAAGCAGTGCTAGGCAGACAGACAGATAGATAGATGTACAGATAGACAGACAGATAGATGTACAGATAGACAGACAGATAGATGTACAGATAGACAGACAGACAAACTGACAGACATAGAGAGACATGTTTGTGTGCAAGAGTAAAAACATAAAAGCAAAGTTCCCCCTCCAGCAGCCAGCAGCGCACATTCATCGAATGTCACTTATTATCTGATGCTTGTCATAACAACCATTCTTCAAGGCACACACAGAAGACAGAAAGACAGATAAGCTGAACTAGACAGACCGATAAACAGAGCTAGGCAGGCAGATGGAAAGACAGACAGATGTACAGATAGACAGACAGATAGACAGATAGATAGACAGATAGATGTACAGATAGACTGACAGACAGACATAGAGAGACATGTTTGTGTGCAAGAGTAAAAACATATAAAGGCAAGGTTCCCCCCTCCAGCAAGGCACATTCATCAAATGTCACTTGTTATCTGACCCTTGCCATAACACCATGCTTCAAGGAGGTTCATACTCCAGCATGTCTAAACCATTGCTGGGACCTATAAATACTTTGTATATATTTCTAGACAATAGTAAAGACCAGGGCAGGTGAAAATGTTCACGTGTCAGTGTGAGTGTTACTATATGAGTACTATTTCAGTATATATTATTAGTGTCAGAACAAAGATTGGCTATGAAATCACAAGAACTATTATAAATTGCAATTATCAGAACATAAAAATTATATAAATTAAAAAACAGGAGAAAAAAGGTAAATCGGCAACACTTCTGCAAGCGGCAGGACTGGATGTTGCCGTCAGGTGAGCATCCAGAGCCAACTTCACAGTCTTATATCTCGGTAAGTACCGGTCCTAAAAAATTTTTGGGGGTTTTATACCACACAGAAAATTTCCCTCTTTAATTGAAAAACGAAAAACAATTTTTTTATTATTCAAAATATTCGGAGCGCCACGCAGGTGAACGTAGATCTACGTTTGGACAGTTTAAGGGTTAAGACTAATTAATTTTATATTTTTTTTACTTTTTTTCAACTGTTTGTTTTGCTTTTGTCTATAATTCATGTCTACTTTTCCATATTTTTCTGCGTTCATTCTTAGAACTAAGCCTAAAAGACAATGTTACAGTGTTTGCAATATTATAATATTATAAAATACTAGGTCACATTTATAAAAAGATTCAGGGAAACTGGTTAACCAAATTTGAGTTGAGGTGAGAGGTAAAGTACCTGCACTTGCCAGTAGCAGGAACAGATCTGCTGTGAAACTAATAAAGCTTAAGCTTCAGGTCCCCTAATCCCTAAGGGATTAGGGGCCCCTGGACAGGAACCTAAAGTCAGTACCTGACCGGTCGAGCTGTGGTTCATACGTCAGCTTCTGTGTTGCCGGCATTAACACCTGGTTGATTAGGCCCTGATCCACCACGAAGCCTGGTCATAGACCAGGTCATGGGGGCATTGACTCCCAAAACCCTCTCCAGATATACTCCAGGCCCCAGAAGTGACTTTAGTCCACATTGCTTAAAAATTTTGGGTCTACTGTATGAAAAGGGGATGTGAAGGAGCCCCCCATAACAGCTCAAGCTTCAGGGCCCCAAGAACGTAGGTCTGCCACTGAGTAGTAGGGGTGAGGTTCAAATCAAATCAAAGTTCATTTGCACATGATGTTAAGTTTAAACAGAAATGGGTAACATTTGATTGCATGCAGAAAATCCATTGTTATGCAGTTGTTGCAGTTCATCCTACCATTTTGTGATATCTTTGGACTTCTGGAAAGACAGCTCTTAAATGAGTGATGGTGAATGCTTTTCTTTTATTTTTCTGCTCACCCTTCCTTGGTGGGGAGGTGGCTGGTGTGTTTAAAAAAAAAATAATATATTGTGATGTTAAAGTTTTTCACTAGCAATAAACCATCTTCATACTTAAAAGTGCTAGAAAATGTAGATATGGCATGTTTCACATATCTTTTGACCCAAAACAACTACTGGTACATATTAAATAGGTTTAAAATTTCTATTCTTTTCACAGACAAATGATGCGCTTGGTAGCAGTTACAACTTTCTCTACTTTGTGCCCCTTATTGTGTTGGGGTCTTTTTTCATGCTCAACTTAGTTCTTGGTGTTCTCTCTGGGTAAGTACAATCTTAACTATACCCTTCAATATATTCCACAGTTATTATTATTATTATTCTCCATGGGGAAGTGGAAAAGAATTCTTCCTCTGTAAGTCATGCATATCATAAGAGGAAACTAAAATGGCAGGAGCAAGAGGCTAGTAACCCCTTCTCCTGCATAAATTACTAAACTTAAAAAGAAAAACTTTCATTTTTCTTTTTAGGTCACCCTGCCATGGTAGTATATGGCCAATGTGTTGAAAAATATTATTATTATTATTATTATTATTACTATTATTATTATTATTATTATTATTATTATTATTATTATTATTATTATTATTATTGTTATTATTATTATTCTTTCAACAAACCGGCCACATCCCACCGAGGCAGGGTGGCCCAAGAAGAAAAACAAAAGTTTCTCTTCTTAAATTTAGTAATTTATACAGGAGAAGGGGTTTTAGCCCCTTGCTCTCGGCATTTTAGTCGCCTCTTACAACACGCATGGCTTACAGAGGAAGAATTCTGTTCCACTTCCCCATGGAGATAAGAGAAAATAAACAAGAACAAGAACTAGAAAGAAAATAGCAGAAAACCCAAAGGGGTGTGTGTATATATATATGCTTGACCATGTATGTGTAGTGTGAGCTAAGTGTAAGTAGAAGTAAAAGCGTCTCCCCAGTGTCAAGGTTACCCTTCCCATTCACTCAAAGGAATATTTTGCCAAAAAATTCATGTTAACAAAGCAAAGAGACAACATGTGCATTTTGAAATTGTTGAAAAAAGTTGTAGATCATAGTTTCCTTCTAGTATTTTCAACATACACTTATCTTTACTCTCCTGTGTACTTCTTAATAGTTCTTAATTGTGTAATATTTCTTATCCATTGTAGGAGGCTGGTTCAAGACTTGAGACATGTACATACACGTATACTGTACACAAATAAATGTTCGTTTCAACATGATACATTGTTCATACAGAAATAGGTGAAATTTGAGTGCATGTTGAAAAATTTGAGTGCATGTTGACAGCCCATTGTTATGCAGAGCATTTCAGACAACACTCACTCACATTATTTTTAATAAATAGGATACTGTACATATTTATGGCATTATTTTACAATAATTCAGGGAAACCGGCAGGCCGGACTTGAGTCCTGGAGATGGGAAGTACAGTGCCTGCACTCTGAAGGAGGGGTGTTAATGTTGCAGTTTAAAAACTGTAGTGTAAATCACCCTTCTGGCAAGACAGTGATGGAGTGAATGATGGTGAAAGTTTTTCTTTTTCGGGCCACCCTGCCTTGGTGGGAATCGGCCAGTGTGATAATAAAAAAATAAAAATAATAAAAAATAAATTTTTTAAGCTAGTTTTTATATTTTATCATAATGAAAAATTTAGACATGGTGATAAGTCTGCCTGAAATGCTTAGTCATGTTAATGGCTTTCTTCGTACTTAACAATATTTTATAAAATGTAAATCACACATCATAAACTTTGCAAAGAAATAAAAATTTTAATTGGAATTGTGTGAGTGTTTAGCACGTGTGTGAAGCAGCAAATGGGATAAGACATTACATGATAAATGATGCTCTGAAGTATGTAGGTGATTTTCTTTAGTTTATGTCCCTTTGAATCTTTTTGTTGAGGACATGAAAAATAGATTGCGAGCGTTAAGGCATCAGTTGTAAAACATACTTTGTCAAAATAAAGTTTATCATTTATCATATTTACCCATTTCCACCCAGCATGGGCAGAATACTTCTCACTTAAAATATATAGATGGAACTGTTGGTCTAAGTCAGAAGAATAGCATGATGAATATTTTTTAGGATGTACAAAGGAGAAAGATGGCGAGCGTAAATGTTACATACACACATAATCCGCACCTAGAAGAGAGGGGCTTATGATGACGTTTCGGTCTGACTTGGACCATTTACAAAGTCACACTGACTTTGTAAAAGTGACTTTGTAAATAGTCCAAGTTGGACCAAAACGTTGTCATAAGCTCCTCTCTTCTATGTGCGGGTTATTTGTGTATTGTTCCAGTTACTGTATTGTGACTTTTTTTGTTATTTGTAAATGTTAGGTTTGAAAGAGTAAGTGTGTAATATTAAGTCGGGGGAAGATAAGCTGGAAGTTGTGAAAAACATTGAGATATCAGATCAGAAGTGTAGTTAAGATGGCAGTAGCATATCAAAATTTAAAGTACATCAGCACACACAACTTTCATTCATTGTGTACTTATCTTTCAGTTTGAAGCTTGATTACATAGATGAACAAAAATATCATAAATTTGATAAAAGTTTTTTGTTTTTTAACACATTGGCCATCTCCCACCAAGGCAAGGTGACCCGAAAAAGAAACACTTTCACTTACACTGCCAGCATATTTTATTTATTTTGCCTCCTTATTGTATTACCAGGGGTGTATTTTCTTGGTGTGTGCTAGGTGAGCACCGCACACTCACCAAAGATGGTAAATTTATCTTAAATTTTAAGTTCACTGAGTAATATAATCATGTATCATAAAGGGAAGCTAATTTTTGTCCCCCCTTATGAAATATTGTGGCTGTTGTTGTGAGATGGCACTGCACACCCCACTGTGCTACCCCACGGTGGCACAGTGCATACCCTGTGATAACCACCGTATGCCACTAGTATTTACAGAACATTTTTTTTTCATGCAGAACATTATTTTACTACATACATTCATTTTTCTTTTGGATCTTTTAATTTTTTTTTTTTTTTTTATCTTTTTCTGTATAGCTGTTATTACAGTACCAAGATTGTATTTACACAACACCAATAAGCTTAGACTAGTCTTGCATTAATGTTTGCATTTCAGAGAATTTTCTAATGAAAGAAAACGTGTTGAGCGAAGAGAACATCATAGAAAAGACAGACTCAGAAGAAATTTTGCCCAGGCTTTTAATGGTTATTTTGACTGGATCTGTAAAGCAGGTACTCAACCTGGGTAGCTAAATTTTTCATGGGAGCATTTGGTCTGTAATTATACCAATACAGTGGTACCCAGAGTTTTGGCCATAATTCATTCCAGAAGGCTGTTTGAGTGCCGTTACTGAACGAATTTGTTCCCATAAGGAATAATGTAAATTAAATTAGTCCGTTTCAGACCCCCAAAAATACACTTACAAAAGCACTTACACTAATACACTTACATAATTGTTTGAGTTGGGAGCTGTATGAAACTTGGGGTATCACTGTATACATGTATTAGAATAAATACAGTACTGTACCTAAATTATTGCATACGTAATGAATATTTTCTCAGAGTATATTGTTTTACAGTATACATTTTTGTATTTGTCTAATAGTATGGCTAATGGTAATATATCTAATTGTATGGCTAATGGTAATATATCTAATGGTATGGCTAATAGTAATATGTAAATTGTATACTAGTACTAAAAATGAAAAAAGAACATTACATGTTCCAATATTGGTCCAGTTTGCAGCTGTGTATTTAAATGTAATCCTTCATCAGCTCTAACAGTCATAAGAAGATAGGTGGGTAGCAACAATGCTCGCAGTTTTCATCACATTAGCAACAACAGATTTAAAAAAAAAAGGAATTATTAGTGGATTACCTATAATGTCATCACAACTTAGCCGAACAGCTTCTTGTGTAATATGTCTTCATTTTAAGTAGTTTGTTCTCTTACACAATTCCTGACATTAGAAAAATATTTTTGTCTATATTTAGGGTTGGGTTATGATAAATTATAAATCTGTTAAAGCAGTTTTTTTTAACCCTTAAACGGTCCAAACGTATATATATGTTCTCTTGCGTAGCACCCCAAACGTATATACATGTATACGTTTCCTTTGTCATTCATTCGACATTGGCATGATAGGCCTGAGTCGCCTAGACATGAGAGAATGGGTGTGCGCACTCACTGTGCGCCATATGAAAAAATTGGGGACACCTGGGTATGATATGCTCTTTTTTCCTATTAAAAAAAAAAAAATCTCAAAAAATTCCGGGCGCTACGCGAAAGAACGTATATATACGTTTGGGGCGTTTAAGGGTTAAATATGAGAATAGTAAATATGTGGAATGAGTTAAGTCACAGTAGATCCAAATGAAAATAGGGCAGATCTAAATCATGTCAGTTAATCGTAAGTTAAAAGGTGGGTTCAGGAGCTGCAGTTATACCAATACTTGTATATTTACATATACTTCATATAATTTTAGATTATTTTTTAGATATGTTTTTTGTTTTATTTTTATTTATTATTTTATTTCAGTCTGAAAAGTTATGAATCATGAAGTTGGAGTGTAGAAAATCAAACATGGTGGGCAGAATTGTTTAGTACAGTCATTGATTAACTTGGAAAATTTGACTTAGATATAATGGAAGAGAATAAAAATAATTTGACACATGAGGAAGGTAGACCATTACACATACATTACACAGGTAGTAGAGTGAGATTTTATGTAAGGTGACTTCTTTATCAAGCCTATACAAGATGAGATCTTTGTCAAGTCTGTTCAAGATGAGGTCTTAGTCTAGTTTATACAAGATGAGGTCTTTGTCAAGTCTATACAAGAATAATTAATTTGGCCAGTTTCAAAGTCACTGTCATACAATGATGTTGTAAGCTTTTATGTACAGGCAGTTTACACTTTCTTTTAGAATCCAGCTATTCATAGTTACTTTAGGTTGCTGGTGATGCAAGTCAGCTTAGTTAAAGTACATAGGAATATCCTTAGCCTTGAGTACAGTACAGGAGGCCCCGTTTATTCAGCAGGTTAGGTCCTGGAATATTGCTGTAAGTGAAAATCACTGTAAAGTGAAACATAGCCTTTTTTTTTCACTTTTAAATGCATATAAAAGCCTGATAACATATTTATACTATCATTATTAAGTGAGGAGTAGAGCTAGGCCTATAAAATGCATATGCAGTACACACTACTTAGATTATAGTGAGTAATGAATATCTTTATTGTAAGAAGTCTGAATAAATGAAGAATGAGTATAATTGAGAACTGCTGCATTAGCAAAGCACGGTAAAGTGAGGCGCTGTAAAGCGAAGTGCTGTAAATTGTATTTGCAGGGCCCTCCTGTATATATCATCATAGATATTGTTATTCTTGTGTATACCTGCTTCTGCAGTAATATTTAAGTTACAATTTGCTATTTCTGTAAGCCAATAAATATTTTGCTAACTCTTCAGAAATATATTGATAACTGGATTATATGGGAGTTTTGGTTATATATATATTCAGTTATGGCTTTTAATTTCAGCTATCTTAACTTTATTCTATGTTAATTATATGTAGCTCAGTAATTTATTTATGGGCTATAAGCATAGATTTTGTTAACCTACTTATGAATAACCGAAACTTCCAATAATCAAGATTATCAAGTGTAATAATGGCATAATTCAAATTTGACACCAACCATGGCTTTAGTAGGAGTTTGTGGTGTAGTATCTTGACTGTTTCCATCTTCTTGTTTGCAGTGAATTTGCTAAGGAGAGAGAAAGAGTAGAAAATAGACAAGAATTTTTAAAACTTAGAAGACAACAACAGTTAGAAAGAGAGTTGAATGGCTATGTGGAGTGGATATGTAAAGCAGGTAAGTAGTGGTTAGATTCTTATAATGGATATCTCAAACAAGTGAATGATAAACATAATCAACAGTTGTCTAACAGTGGGAGTGACATGAGGGTAACATAAAAAGGTATCACATTTTCTGGCATATGAGATGCTTTTTTTTTTCCCCCCACAAAAAGTCATGGAAAAATCAGCCTGTGCATTATATGCTCAAGGTCAGGGTCAAGGGTAGGCATTGTTATGTTTTAGCAGTTGTTCACTAACATTATGTTACAGCTACAGTGGACACCCAAGTTTCATAGTCGATCCATTTCAGAGAGTCTACCAAATGGCGGAATTCACGAATGGTGAAACTATTTTTCTTATAAGAAAAAATGTAAATCCAGTTAATCTGTTTCAGACACCCAAAAGTATTAACAAAAAATATTTTTTTTTAAAGATTAAATATAGATTTACATACAGAAAACAGTGACAAATAAATATAAAGCATCACACTTACCTTCATTGAAGACTCTTGTTGGTGTATGGAAGACAGGTAGGGGGGAAGAGGGAGGCGAGTTTATTGTGCTTCAATATGACGCTAATATAATCTCTTCGGCTTATTTATCTATCACAATTCATCTAATATGACATAATAAACAATATTAATAACATAGAAACATGATATATACTCTAGAATGAATAAAATATGTCATAACATATGTGAGGAGTAACTGGTAGTGATGTTGGGTTTATAAGGGCCACTGAGAGAAGCCGTACATAGTGATGGTGGAGGCAGCAGCAGAAGCCACCACCACTACTCACACTGAAACAATGTACATAATTTATAAATAAGAAATTTTTACACTTTAATTTATAAATAAGAAATATTTACACTTTAATTTATAAATAAGAAATATTTACACTTTAATTTATAAATAAGAAATATTTACACTTTAATTTATAAATAAGAAATATTTACACTTTAATTTATAAATAAGAAATATTTACACCTACTTTGGACGAGATGTTAGTTTAATTAGTTAGTTTGATGGAGGAGATGCTGGCAGAGGTTTAGGGTGGTGGAAAATAGCAGGGTGGCATATGTTCAGTGGAATCACCGAATCACTGAAGAAGGGACATTCTCCCAAATCTCTTCCTTCTCCACTTTGGTGCTTTGCTACGAATTCTATCGTGTTTCTTTCCTTCTTTACCAAAGGGCTGGCACTATGAGCTTTTTATGGGCTCATGGTGGCTTATTTTGCAGTTGCAAGCACAAAAAACAATGGATTATTATGAAATGTATCATATGAACCTGTGGGGTGATGGTCACTCGCCCACAAATCATGCCACACTGATTCTCTGAATGTTGTGTGGGAGCCTTTGTGTACGCCCGACCGCATCGACACGTTCCATATGATGGATGAATCACTAGGGAAATCACGAACTGCGAGGCTTTATTTTGATGAAAAAAGTTGCCGAGAGTCGAAATTCAAGAAGTGCGAGGCTCACGAAACTCGGGGGTCCACTGTACTTGGAAATATTGTATTATGTGCTCATGTGACTTATATGCCAGAAAATACAGTACAGTGGACCCCCAGTTCACGATATTAATTCGTTCCTGAGAGCTCATCGTAAACCAAAATTATCGGAAAGCGAATAAATTTTCCCCATAAGAAATAATGGAAATCAAATTAATCCATGTAAGACACCCAAAAGTATGAAAAAAAAACTTTTACCACATGATATATTAAGTTTAATGCAATATAATAATTACAATAACAATAATAACAATAGAATAATTGACACTTACCTTTAATGAAGATCTGGTGATGATTGATGGGATGGGAGGAGGGGAGAGTTTCGAAGTTTTTAATGTTTAGAAGGGGAATCCCCCTCCATTAGGACTTGAGGTAGCAAGTCCTTTTCCGGGGTTACTTCCCTTCTTCTTTTAATGCCACTAGGACCAGCTTGAGAGTCACTGGGCTTCTGTCGCACAACGTATCTGTCCATAGAGGCCTGTACCTCTCGTTCCTTTATGACTTTCCTAAAGTGGTTCACAACATTGTCAGTGTACAGGTTGCCAACACCGCTTGCAGTAGCTGAGTCAGGGTGATTTTCATCAAAAAAGGTTTCCACTTCAAGCCACTTTGCACACATTTCCTTAATTTCAATAGTCATTAGCACCCTTGGTCTTGATGGGTTGGCACTAGAAGCTTTCTTGGGGCCCATGGTGACTTATTTTGCAGAAACAAGCACCAAAAACAGTGATAATATGGATAATATGGAATGTACCGAATGTATCCTTAGATGCGCGCACACTGGCTGGCTTGTAAACACTGGACACATCTCGTACGAATCATATCGCATACCGGGTTTTGTAACGGGAACCGAGGCAAATTTTTTGCAATATAATGCTTCGGATACCGGATTTATCGGATACTGAAGGCTTTGCGAACCGGGAGTCCACTGTAGTTAATAAGCAGCAGGATTTTCATTATAATGTATTTCAACCTCAGAATTTTGTCAGGACAAGGTGGTGCCTATTCCCTTAAACTTGGTCAGTATAATTTCTGCTTAGTGGGAAATATATATTATTTAAGCATTTTTAACTTTGTGGTAAATTCTTTGTCAATAGTAATGTACTATCTTTATATATAATTTGCTCAGCATTTGTGGCAAGTATATAGTGTATCTGTAGGGTAAAAAGTATTTGTTGTTTTGAATCATCTTTATTATTGCTTTGTTTTTTGAAAAATATATAATATGCACCAGTATAAATTAACATCTGTATCATGAATATTCTTACTTGCAAATTGGCAATTACCATTAATACATTCCAGAGGAAGTTATACTTGCGGAGGAGAGAACCACAGATGAAGAAAAAGCTCATATAATGGAAGGTAGGTGTCAAAATTTGTATTCATGGGTTTCCCCACTCACTTTTATATTGCAGAAAGTTGTATAGCAAAGTTGAACCTCTCATTGCTATTCATTGTTCCCTCTACTCAGTTTAATATTGCAGAAAGTTTTATAGGTAAATTGCAGTAGATAATTTATTAAGCAGTCCATATACCTGCAACTTGAACATTAAGAAAAGTAAGTATCATGGTGTTACTCCATATTATTTTCCATTGCACTAATTAATTTGCTTTTAGTTCTTTCACAAAGAATATAATAATTTATAAAGTTTGATTTTCTTAATTACATTTCTACATTGAAATTTTAATTTTGTGGTTAATTTGCGAAATCCTTTTTGGATTTTGTTCCCCTCTGTGCAGTGGCTGATACAATCAAAACTAAGTACTAAACCCACACGAGTCATACAGTGTCCAACACAAAATTATTCAAGTGTTGGGTCGTTGAAGTAATTTCCTTCATTCACAGCAAGAAGAAGAGCAGCAGCGAAGAGAAAAAAGCTTAAACACTTAGGGAAGAGTAAGAGTACAGATACTGAAGATGAAGAGAATGAGGCTGAAGATGAGGATGGTGAGTTACATTCATTTAAACCAAATACTCATTACCTCTTTTTACTTCTCACGTTTTTTCCTTTTACTGCTTCTATCATCTAATTACTTCTGTATTCATTATTTTTTTCCTTTTACTGCTTCTATCATCTAATTCCTGTATTAATTATTCACTCATTCATATAAACAAAAATATTCGTCACCTCTTCTTACTTCTCGTGATTTTCCTTTTATTGCTTCTATCATCTAATTCCTTCTGTATTAGTTATTTACTCTTGCTAACCTTCATTAGCTGTTTACTGTCAATTTATTCCCATGTTTCAGTGTGTTTGTTTTATAGTTTTATGTCTTCTTATCTTTTACTCTTCGCATTAATTTGAATCAGTGTTGTTATTTTTCTATCTACTAAGTATCATGTATTTGTTTCCATGCTTATATACAGCAAAATCACTGACCAGTTTATTACACATATGCATCACTCTCAGTCAGTTTTGTTTATACCTGTTTGCACCCGCTATTCTCCATAGTGTTTTTTTATTTTATAATTTTTAAATTAATGTTTTTTATTTCTTCTATTATCGAAATATTTGTCTTTTATATATGTAAATCTGGGGAGGAGGGGTAAGGGTCATCCTAGGAAAGGATGGAGGGAGGGGATAAAAGAGGTTTTGTGTGCAAGGGGCTTGGATATGCAACAGGCAGCAGTTGATAGTGAACATAGATAAGAATAAGGTGATGAGGGTATGAAATGAGTTAGGTGTTCAGATATTTGGGAGTAGACTTGTCAGAGGATGGGTTTATGAAGAACGAGGTAAACCATAGAAATGATGAAGGAAAAAGGGTGGGTAGTGCATTGAGGTATCTGTGGAGACAAAGAATGTTATCCATGGAGGCAAAGAAGGGAATATTTGAGAGCATAGTGGTATCAACACTCTTGTATGGGTGTGAAGCATGGGTTATAAATGCAGCAAGAAGGAAGCTGAAGACAGTGGAGATGTCATGTCTAAGGGCAATGTATGGTGTAAATATTATGCAGAGAATTTGTAGTGTGGAAATTAGAAGGTGTGGAGTTACAAAAAATATTAATCAGAGGGCTGAAGAAGGGTTATTGAGGTGGTTTGGTCATTTAGAAATGATGGAACAAAATAGAATGAATTGGAGGGTGTATAAATGTGTAGTGGAGGGAGGAGGGATAGGGGTCATCCTAGGAAAGGCTGCAGGGAGGGGTGAAAGAGGTTTTGTGTGCAAGGGACATGGACATTCAGCAGGCATGTGTGAGCACCTCTGCAAAGACAGTTATATTATGTGAACGATGGTTAAAGTGTTTTTTTTTTCTTTGGAGGGGGTCACCCTGGCTGGGTGGGAGATGGCTTTTGTGTTGGAAAAAAAAAATACATATATATATATAATCACGCAACCCACACATAGGAGAAAGAAGCTTATGGTGATGTTTCTGTCCAACTTGGTCCATTAACTAGTCACACACAAGTATGCAAGTTTGTGACTAGTTATTGATGCAAGTTGGACAGAAATGTCATCATAAGTTTCTCTCATGTGAGGGGTTATTTGTGTATTGTTCCAGTGACGGTATTGTGCCTTTTAATTCTTTATATATTTTCACCTTTGCATATTTATCTCTCTTTCCTATTCTATCTCTTATTTTTGTACATATCAAACATTTTCACCACCTTGGGCATGTCCCATTTTATTTCAAATTGATTTTTATTTTATGAAGAACAAAAAATACCAACAACTGCACAGTTACCTCAGTTGTTCTGCACATGTTTCTCCTGAACTTCTGCGAGCTCTTCCTCTCAGTGCCTTTACTGTTTGTGTCTTTTTCTTTTTTATTTGTTTACCCATATCAGTGTGTATAATTTACAGTTGATATTCAATGCAATAATATTTTTCATCTACGTACTTGTAAATTTTGTGTTAGAAACTTTTCGATAAATTCTTTGTCTTGCCTGTATATATACCTGTTTTTATTAAACACAGTAGAACTTTAATATTTACAGTTTTATCTATATATACTATATATATATATATATATATATATATATATATATATATATATATATATATATATATATATATATATATATATATATATATATATATATATATATATATATATATATATATATATATATATAATATATATATATATATTATATATACATATATATATATATATAAAATATATATAAAATATATATAAAATATATATATAAAATATATATAATATATATATATATATATATATATATATATATATATATATATATATATATATATATATATAATATATATATATATATATATATATATATATATATATATATATATATATATATATATATATATATATATATATATATATATATATATATATATATATACAGTGGACCCCCGGTTAACGATATTTTTTTCACTCCAGAAGTATGTTCAGGTGCCAGTACTGACCGAATTTGTTCCTATAAGGAATATTGTGAATTAGATTAGTCCATTTCAGACCCCCAAACATACATGTACAAACGCACTTACATAAATACACTTACATAATTGGTCGCATTCGGAGGTGATCGTTATGCGGGGGTCCACTGTATATATATATATATATATATATACGTATAATATATATATGTATATATATATATATATATATATATATATATTATATATATATATATATATATATATATATATATATATATATATATATATATATATATTTATTTATTTAGTTAATCCTTGATAATGGGATAATACAAGATATCTCTACTTTTATATATATATATATATATATATATATATATATATATATATATATATATATATATATATATATATATATATATATATATATATATATATATATATATATATATATATATATATATATATATATATATATATAATTTATATGTGAGTGTATATACTGTATATACTGTATGTATGTATTAGAGATTTTTCAGCTGATACTGGTTCATAACTTTATTTTCTTCACCTGTTTATTTAATACAATGATGTTTTCTTGAGGCCAGATTGCCTCCTTACATAATTACCAGCATTATGAAGTGCACACAAACGTTACTGTGCAGGAACCAGCCAGCAGATGGTATATAAATAATTGGTGACTGCATCATATAAACTGCATTGTACCCTTCATGTAGATGTGCATCTTGATTCTCCTGTTATCTGAGATTATCACTTATAACAATACCTCATTTTATTCCTTTGGTAATTTGGAGTGTATTCTTGACAGGCACTGTATGTTAATTATAATGATTTTGTGTGCTGAACATAATAGCTTTATCTATTTACTTTTTCAAATTCAGAGCTTCATGTTCAAGTTCATCAATTAAATAATACCACAAGCTTATTTCTAACATAATTGGTATGATGCTACATAGTGATGATAGTTTATGATTCAAATCCTCACTCCTAGGAAGCATGATGTTACCTGTTTCTTACTCTGGTGTCTACCAGAGCATACCAATTATCTTGATACAAGTCCTGGATCAATATGTTACTCCTGCATATGACCTGTTCAAGCAAAACATTCAAAATCCTGTGGTCATTTTATTGACTCAAATTACCAGCAATCAATATAGTTGAGGTATTTGTTATAAACCTGAGTGTAGTCATGCACTGTTAATACAGTAGCAAGAATATTTTTGAACTTTCATATAATACACTGGGCCCTCTACATTTGAGGATAGTATTAGGGTAATAATTAATACAATTCCAAAATTAATCAACAGTACATCTATGGTATGAGTATTTAAGGCACCATATGCTTTAGGAATTTAATATCCTATGCTTTATGAAAATTGGGTTTAAATAGCTACGTACAGTTATATTCATTGCTACGCAGTTTATGACATTCATTAAAGAAAATACATAGTTATTATATTTTATTGGGGTACAGTTTTCTTTGAGTAAGTTTTTCTCCCCAAAAATTATACCATTAATGTGTAAAATAATTTTTACCTAAAATGGAAATATGTAAAATGATTTGATTTAACTGTTTTATTCAGGTTCTTATTTATGTTAACATAATTTAAAGTAAAATGGCATAGTACTTTTAATTGTTCAAAAGCATTAAGTGTGAACAGGTTTGTAAATAAAAATATCTATAGGTAAAAGAATCCTAGTTACAAACAGCATTTGTAAAAGAGATTCCACACCCTATTCAATTTTTATTTACATAGTACTTTTAATTTGAAGCTGATGAGAAATTTTTACATACAGTAGCCCCCCCGTATCCGCGGGGGATATGTTCTAAGACCTACCTTGGATACCTGAAACGTAGATAGTAGTGAAACCTATATACGAGCCATTTTTCATTTACATACATAAAAGTGATAAAGTTTAATTGATAAATTACACACATTAAGTCAAGAACTATTACTTTTTCACTGATGGGAATCACTCCATGGCTTCTCTTAGGCTTTGAAGAACTGTCACCATCACTACTTTTGTGCTTTGTGTCATTATTAAGCAAAATTAAGGGTTATTTTCAGGTCACAGTAAATTGTGCATAACTGAAACCTCAGAAACCAAATCCACGGATGTGGGGGTTCTACTGTACTTTTAATTATTCAAAAGCATTAAGTATGAACAAGCTTGTAAATAAAAATATCTGTAGGTTAAAGAATCCTACTTATAAAGAGCAATATTCAATTTTCTATTTACATAGTACTTTTAAGTTGAAACTGATAAAAAATTCTTATATAGAGGTGCCCAAGTATTATCGACACTTGGCCTTGGTCAGACTCAGTCACTCAGGTCACTAAGTAACCCCTCCCTACTGTGACTTTTGTACTGCTGTTATTTTAACGTATATTTTTAGTATTTTAGGAATTATTTCTATGTGTACATATTACTAAGATCTCTCCTCACACCAGCCCCCCAATTTTTCATTCTAACAGCCCCCCTTTCTCTCGCAGTTCCCGCCAAAAAGAAAGGTATTGGTACGCACCTCATGGTAAACCTAGATTACATTATAGACGTTGT